GTTTTATAGTCGCACGCAGTAGTTTTCAGTCGCAAATGCGACTGAAATGGTCGCACTGTAGAGCCCTGATATATATGATATGATATATATATATATATTATACATTATACACACACATATATATATATATATATATATTAGTGTTATCAAAAGACCCGGTATTTCGGTACCAAGTCGGTACTAAAAAAATGAAAACGTTACGGTACCAGGTTTTTTCAACCAAACTTTGGGTAAAATTTGGACTAACCCAACTTTTGGGTTAAAAATTGAATGTAAAAATTTAACCCAACGGTTGGGTTAGTCCATATTTGACCCAATGTTGGGTTGAAACAACCCAGCATTTTTTAGAGTGTAGGTATATAGGTGCAGAGCCAGTGGTGGTTTTGTAGGCAAACATTAATGCCTTGAATTTTATGCGAACAGCTACTGGTAGCCAGTGCAAATTGATGGTCAGAAGAAGAAAATGGAATAAAAATCTAGTTTAAGCCAATGTAATTCTTGTTTTGGTAGCAGTATAGTGTCATGTCTACCAAATATTTGAATATGAGCTGCTGCGAAAAATGCTCTGTTGATATCGGAATACAAGACATTATGTAATCCATAAGGTTTCTTGCTTAAGTGTCCAATCGTATGTTTTGTGTGTATTCAGGAAGGAGCGTCCTGTCTCTCTGGGTATTTTTTCATTGCCGGGAAGTGATGTGATGACTCCCGATCTGCACAGGGAGGCTGTGGAGACTCCAGGAACGGACACATGGAGATACAACAGTATCAGCCACCCGCGCTCCAACACCAGCCTTAAGGTGAGAAACACACCGGTTTGCAGATAATTTACTTACATTACATCCCTAGTTTGGGAGCGTATGGTAAAAAAAGGCCTCATTTTTAAAGATATAAAAAGCCTTAAGCTATTCCTTAAAATAGAGTAGGACTGGGTTGACAGTTGATTTCTCGATTAACCAATATTGATTGTTAAATCCCAAGATCAATATTTTAGTCTATGCTGTTTTGTGTTGATGCATGAATGAACCGTAACAAAATATTATTTACAGTACACATGCCATCCAAAAATCACCATAAACTTTGTGCTTTGTTACTTTTGATATGAAATTATGATATATATTGTGTCAAATCATGTAAAAGGTTTGTGTTGCCTGACTTTGATGACTGTCTTCAGCACAGTTTGCAGATGTAAATTTATGTTTATTATAAAAAACAGTCACATCTGTAAAAATTGTAACATCCTCATTTTTATATGGTGAAATGTAATTATTATGACTGAGTTTTCTTTTAATTAACCATTGGTCTTCCATAGGGAGCATACATTTAGATCATGATCACCACAGTTAAAACCACACATACCAACGCACCTCAATACCATGGTTAAAAATGTAACTATATACTTTCTAGGTATTTGTATCTAAATCTACATTTAGTATAAATGCACAAATGCTACAACTTAATCATAAAAAAATAATGTAGTTATATTCCATTACTCCTTTAATATATTTGTCTACATTAATAATATAATAAAATTCCATATGAATAGCCCACATTTCTAACACAATAGCATGGTGCAGTTAGTGTTACTACAGTAAATCCATGGTAAATGATGACGATTTGTAGATTGAAAAGCCTTCTGACTGTATTGTTGCACACAGTGTTTCTCCTTTTTGTCAGCGCTGTTTCATCTGACTTTAAATTAGCTTAAATCAGTGAGTCATTTGTGTTCTTCGCTAGGCCTGTCACGATAACAACTTTTTGTTGTGCGATATATTGCCCCAGAAATAATTGCGATAAGTGATATTATTGTCATTTTAAAGACCATTTTATGCCACTGAATATATAATCATAATATAAAAGCATAATAATGCAAGAAGGCCAACACACTTCCAAATGACAACAAACTTTTAAGAATATTTAGATCATGGAAATTAAGTATCAAAATATTAGATACCTTAAAAAACTTGAATAAATAGTAAATAAACATTTTCTAACAAAGTGCAAAGTAACAAGTAGAAAAAAAGAAAAATGCACAACGAACTTGTATGGAGATTTTTCTATCTACAGATTTTTCCCTGACCTTCTTTTCTCTGTAAATTAAGGATGCACACTATTGCTGAAAAACACAATCCCTACTTGTCCATATGCACAAAGGCACAGATCCCTAAACAAGGCCATTTCTGCAGATTAAACTTTTTTTTGTTGAAGCATTTTTTAAATTTGAACTAGCACCGACTACACCACATTATGCACGAGAAGCTGCAAAAAACACAGGCGCAAGTGGAATGCAAAAAACATGGTGACATTAATTTTTAAGTAAATATAATGGGTGATATATTGCGTCACCAAAAATTATTGCGGTCATGTACATATATTGTGCGATAAGTCGATATATTGATTATTGCGACAGGCCTATTCTTCGCTGAATTAAAGCACTTCACATTGGATCTCACAGCGCTGTTTAGTGCTCGTGTGACCGAGTCTTATCAGTGAATAAACGCATCTGCTCTGTAATGAGCTCGTGCTGCGCTGCCGCTTGAACTTTGAGCCGAGTGGATAAATGCTCTGTGTGATGCGTTTCAAATGAGTAGCGCTGTTTCGTTCTGCTTTTGGCACATAAACATTATATCCAACATTTATCAAACTCGTCATTGTTTTATCGAGGAAAATCATAGCACGATAATTAGGGCTGCTCGATTATGGCAAAAATCATAATCACGATTATTTTGGTCAATATTGTAATCACGATTATTTAACACGATTATGAGTGGGCCATATGACCAAAACTTTATGTGAGTGATTTATTTAAAGATAGTGATATATATTAAATATATATTTTCTGTAAATAAGGATGCTATGACATCTACATTTTAGAGACCAGCGAAATTTGACAATTCTCAATACCACAGCAGAGTATTAGGTAAACTGATATTAGTAACAAGCAAAAAAGTCCTCAAAATTATTGAAAATAATTAAACGGTCGGTAATAAAATAAAAAAAAGCAAAGGACAAATGCAATAAAATAAAAAGATACAAATGAAACAAACTGTGCTTTAAGGTTTTTTTTAAGTCTCAAGTATTAATTTAACAGAAATGAATAATCAAATGTAAAATAAAACTGCATATATAGTCTTCACTGTAAGAATTGAACTTTTTGTTTCTTATTAAAGCTGCAAAAGTCCTTCACTCAAGAGCAGTGTGTGATTTTGTCTTTGTCTTTTGTTGTTTGATTAATATTAAGCACACAAAGCAGGAATATAGCCGCTGTCACTTTAAGAGCCGCACGGATCCAATTTACCGTTACATATGTGTTTTCTTTCTCAACCGTTTGTTCATTTATTACATGACCGATAAAGGTTTACATGAATAATAATAATAAATAAAGGCCGAAATCGAAACTGTATTTCGATTAATTGCAGTCCTAACGATAATTATGGTTATCGTTTTATCACACAGCCCTATATATATCCAAATGAATGAATGTCAAATCAAATCAAATCAAGAGCTTGTGAATCGCATTGAATTTTAAAATGTGTGCCAATTCCCAGCCCCACTAGCGAATCATCATGTTGTGTCATCATCAGTGCTATTCTGTTGACAACAGCACCCAGAGCAGGCTGTTATCTGCTTCCCAGAAAGTGAACATGGGTTTGGGGGGAATAAAAGCGATGACGACACCGTTAGTTTGTATTGAGAGAGTTTCACTCTGAATAGATCTGTGCAGAACATATGTTTAAGGAGCCTGAGCGGCACTGCCAGCGGGAAGGAAGCTCATTCTGAGGACCTGCTGTGCCCTGCATGCTTAAACAGAGCCCTAACAGGGCCAAGAGCCAGACAAACAGGCCAGGGCTGATCCTGGGTCAGTTCTCAGCATTACAAAACATCCTCTTTTTCCTGCTCTGGAACCTTCCATCTCCCATAGAGATGCATGCATTAGGCCCCTTCATACATATTCATGTTAATGAAGTAATCGTTTGTCATCAACCTCTTCCTGCCATGTTAATGTTCACAACCCTCTCAAAACTCAAGACAAACAAACCACTCAACTCATGTGCTTCCTAACTGGGTAGTTCTCACCAAGAAGATTTTGAGTAACAAATGTAGAAGTTACAGAATCTGCCATTGGGAAAAACCCATCTTGACTGACCACTAGACTGATCTGAATCCTTTCCTCTTCCCTGATTCACATTGATTTTGTCAGCAACGATGGCAATGTCAATCTCTCACGTCTTAGAATAGACTGACCTTGAAGCCCGTCTCAATGTTGAGCCTGATGCAGTAGTTTTTGAAGGATGACGGTCATATTTCAGCTCTCAGAAGCAGAAGAGTGCTTACACTGCTGGAGTCTGATGGTGTGTGATGAGCATTTCCGCCCTCAGAAATCCTTGTTTACTTCTGTACCACCTCATTTTATTCTCCCCCATAATGAAGATTTAATTCTTTTCCACTTTATATGCACTTCTTTACAGTTCTGTGTCTCACTATTTTTCATATACCAAGTATTGCTTCTATATTTTCCACTTAATTCTTGTTTGTGTGCAAAAATATTCTTGACTGTGCTTTTTCTGTTACAATTTGACCTACTTTTCTATTTTCATCTTGAAAGATACGAGAACATAATTTATTTTGTGTGTGTGTGTGTGCATGACATCCAGAAGATAAAATAGACATTATAGCCACACATTAATATTTTTAATTCATTCCCTCATATAAAAAATTTTTTATAATAAATTTTATTTGTAATATAAATAGGTCGGGTTTTTTTCTACTTAGTCATGGAAAAGTGCAGAGCCCTCTGCATGACATGAAGGGAAAAAATATACATATGCATACATATATACATATACATACATTTATACATATACATACAGTATACATATATACATATACATACATTTATACATATACATACCGTATACATACATATATACATATACATGTGTATATATATATATATATATATATATCTAGTGGCCACAAATTAAGAATTCTTAATAATTTGTGACCACATTTACTAATTTGTTACCTCATTTTATGTTAGTTAAATCATGGCCACTATATGGTTGTTTAGCTAAATTAATAAGTTGTGGGAGTTAATTGTTAATTCATGGCCACTGTATCTTGTTTTTCCCCCTGCATGTCATGTGTGTGGAGCTCTGTGATCTTTTATGTGGAGTGTTTGGTGTTACAATTAGCTGAAATAATCAGAGGAGTTGTTAAAGATTGACTAATTGACTGATAATTAACAAAGTGTTGTTGCATTCAGTCAAACTTATTATTTCAGTTAATAAGACTTATTACCAAACAATCAATGCTGTTTACGCACACTGAATAAAGATTCAGAATAAAAGTTCTGGCAAAAATATTTTTATATTAAAATATACAGTATTTTATATGATAATCTTCATGTAGTGTGCAAACAGCATTGTTTGTTTTGTTAAAATGAAAAATTATCTTTTCTGCTTCATCCGTATTACTTCATCGTGACTCACTGATGCAATCATCAGCCTGATGTCAAAAAGTTGTGAAAGCTCAAGCCCTTTTTAATGCATAGTCTTTTGACTTCTGAAAGTCACAGTAGGTGTACATCAAGCTCTGTTATTTCAAAAGATCAAAGAATATTTGATTTCTCATTATAAGACCCCATCAAGGCCACTGGTGAGTCATCTTTAGTTTCAGAAGCACAAAGGCTCCATCAGACTCCCACTGTGGACTGATACAGACTGGCCTTTGTGCGCTCCGTGACTCTGCATTTCTCTCCATATCATCCCCCAGAGTCTCAGCGCTGCTGCTTCTGAGAAAGATGAGAAACTAGGCCATGACTTGCTGTCAGCCTCTCCTCAGGTTAAACAGCTCTGAACTGCCACATTGAGAAAAAGTGGGCACATGCTGCCATGGAAACCCGAGAGAGTATGGGAGCATCTTGCAGCCAGGGTTTTGTGTGTGCGCACTTGTGCTTTTGTTGGCTTGTGCGCATATGTCAGGGAGAAGAAAGAGCGCTTTGAAGTTTGTGCTTTCCAAACAGGAGTGTAAAACCTATTATCTGTTCCTGCCGCTCCCTGTGGATTAGTTGTACTTCCATAACCGATTGATTTTAATGAGAGCTTTGGTTCTTTTTATAGAGCCCAGTCACAAGGTGTAGTGCTGTTTGAAAAGTCACATTAATAAAACATCTCATTATCTGAAGAGCTGGAGGGCAGCGGCCTCAGAGTTCGAAAACTGGCCTCATTTTTGCCAAATTTGCCACTGTACTGTTTTTCTTCTGTGTAGACAAACAAACAAAACAAGAAACGTCAACATTCACATTTTCACTCATGTATCTTCTGATATTCTTTGTCAATAAGGAAAGACATTCGGAGCATGTGAGCGTTCAGGCTCATTGGAAAAACTTCAAAAACGTACATATACATACAATTCACCACAGTTTCTAGCTGAAATGAACACGAGTGGCAGTAAAACACCACAAGCTTTTATTCCTTTTCACACAAATTATGATTAAAGTGACAGATTATTGATTAATAAAGACTTATTTTCGCATAGTTCCTTGCGCAATACTATCCTATGAGCTCAAAACAGTTTTATTGTAGTGCATGATTTGTAAACTAATACATTTTGATATTTTTATCTCATAATCCACTTCATATGTTTGTCTTTTCTGACCCAGTAAACTTGCTCGGTAACGCACCCGGTACAACATTGCACTTGTGAAGTGAAGCGCTCGGGTACGAGTACATTAAAACACGAGATAAAATCACTTGGTTGATTCAGCGAATGTGTTTTTATCTCACATTTGCTTTTGTAATCACATGATCGGGTTAGCTTTTGGGGTCGGGTTAGGGTTCAAAATGTGATACCACATTAACCTTTTAGTGCTTTTCATTTCTGAACTGTCGTGATATGTACAACAACCAACATAAAAAAAAAGCCAGATTCACATTCATCTCTTGGATAAAACAAAATTCATTTTTATCGCCACACACTGGACATTTGACTTTGAAAAGTGTATCTTCGCTGAGTATCTGGTTTGACTCGGAAATGCATCACATTATGGAAATTAAAATGGGTTCCCTTTGTTATTTCATGTTGATTTTAAAGCTTTAGTTCAATCTGGCTCCATTAAAAAGTCCACCATAAAATACACAAAGTTTCCTATAAACTGTCTGTCATGCTTTTTGATTGACCATGGGATTATGTGTAATCCTGGCCTACAGTTCATTTTACTGTAGTTACAGCTTAATCTGGATTTGACAAGCAGGCTCCTAATGCTTTTTGGGGAAGGACTGACCTGATTTTCTTTTTATATAATGCTCATGCAGTTCCCATCAGCCACCTGGCTGAGTGCATGATAAACAGAAACAAGGGGCAGTGTTGCCCTACCTATGTGTTGCTTACTGTACGTTTCTCTCTGGGCAGCTGGAGGCGAATGAATCCCTCAGGAGAGGGGATGGTAAGAGTTCACAGGAGAATTTGGAAACCCAGTGGAGCGACTCCAGTAAGGTAGTCCCGTCTGCTAGTCCTGCCATAACCTCCATGGCAGCTGCAACGTAGTGTGTAGTGTGCTCTGTTTGACTCGTCTCCACACCCCTTACTGTTTTGTATCGATAGTGAAAAGTGCATTCATAGTCCACAAACTGCTGCCTGCAACCACATACTAACATTTAAACAACATATAGGCCAACTCATGGGAGTGAGTACCAAATAAATAGCTTACAAATGTAGTCAATATCCCTGGTGATGTTTGAGTTAAACTGTAGTTTTGGTTGTAGTCAGCATCTGTGTGGTTGATGTTATTGCTTGCAGTTTCACTTGCAATTTTCAATGTGGTCCAAATAATATTCCCGGTTATTTTCAACTTGTAACTTCTCAAAATAGCAACAGTGTAAACCATCTTTACGGTGCTTTTGTATCATTTATGAAGCTTGACATAACTTTATTTAAAGCTTCAGTCTCTATTCATTGTATTGGGGGAAAAAGGCCAGTGAATAATAACCTGGAATATTTATTTAAGTTTATATATTGTTTTTAATGCCACTAAATCATGTGTGTTTTGTGTGTCAGTGTTTTTTCCCCCACTCAAATTTTGTACTTTCTGTCATGATTTGTATTGGTAAAAGCTCAATTGAATGTTCAAAATGTAGACTCAAAAATCATATATTTTGTTTGCTGCCGTTTTCTCTCTGATCATCAGTCCTTTAATGTTTTTGAAAGAAGTCTCTTCTGCTCAGCAAAGCTGCATTTATTTGATCAAAAATACAGTAAAAACAGTGAAATATAATTACAACTTAAAATATTATTACAATTTAGCTGTTTTCTGTCAATATATTGTGAAATGTAATTGATTCCTGTGATCAAAGCTGAATTTTCATTATCATTACTCCAGTCTTCAGTGTCACATGATCTTAAGAAATCATTCTAATATGCTGATTTGCTGCTCAAGAAACATTTCTGATTATTATCAATGCTGAAAACAGTTGTGCTGTTGAATGTTTTTGTGGAAACGATCACACATTTTATTTTTCAGGATTCACAGATGAACAGAAAGTTTAAAAGAACAGCATTAATTTAAAATAGAATTTTTAGTTTTTAACATTATACATGTCTTTACTGACACTCCTGAACAATTTAATGCATCCTTGATGAGAATAAAACTGTTAATTGATTTTGAAAAAAAATTCTTAGTCCAAACTTCTGGTATGTAAGTGAAGATTGCTTATCTCTGCTATATAGTATGACCAGTGTTAATTTAATTACTTAAAGCCAGTTAACAATCTTTCTAAATGAATCTGCATGCAGCATGTCTGTCCTCATCGCAGGACGAGAGCATGGTGTGCAGAGCATGAGGTGATGATATTGTGTTAGTCTTTATGATTAATGTGAACCGTACCCAGTCTCATTTAGCACATAAGTGCGTTCGATGGCTGTTTATTCATATATACTTGATATGACTCAGTGCTTATTGCTTATGCTGCTGGTAATGCTTGATGGGTTTGTTTTCAGGATGAACTTTCTGATGCCGGTAGGGGAGAGTCCAAATCCGGCACGCCCATGTCTGCAGCGACGTCAGCTGTAGCGATGGACACGCCGCGGACGGAGGAGGCCGAGGGTTTGAACAGGAACCTGGACTCAAGCAGCGCTAAACCAGACGGCAGTAAGAACATCAGCGTACAGGATGCTGTGGCATCTTCAGGTGACTCCTAATGTCACAGTCACAGTAGACAATCCAAATGCAATCTGTCTCCCTCCCGTTAATGCTCTGCTTTCGCTGCTTTGCTCAGGGTTTCCATTTTAAGCCTTGAAATTTAGTTTAATTAAATTTAAGGTAATAAAAAGCAAAACGATCTTGAGATGCATGATTTATTTAATGTATATGATCTATCACAGTTTTTGTGTTTATTCTCCATAAATGGTGCTGTGTGTGGCTCACTTAAATTGATGCCAGCTCCCCTTTTGAAACAAACTGCATTTATTTGATGTACATGTGTTCAAACTACGATCACACTGTCTGCACCAAAGCCTCTAGTGTGAAAGTTAATGTATTATACAGATGAATTTTAACACGTTAGACCATTTGAAACACACCTAACTGATACGTTTTTGTTCTCAGGAGCTGATCAAAGTGAGAATGCAGAGCGATCAGAGGTCCAGGCGATCATTGAGTCCACACCAGAGCTGGACATGGATCTGAGTGGATGCAAAGGCTCCAGGTACGTCCACACTGATTCAATCATTCATTCACAGTGCTTTCCTTATCACACCGACCCAGCAGCTTATGTTTTCTGCTCTCAGAGGATCTTCATTCCATACGCACTTTCAGCAACCATCTGGACATTGTTAGGCGAAGCGGCTTTCTCCGTCTTATGTCTGTTCTTCATCTTGGTTTGTTTCTAGCACTCCCACTAAAGGCATCGAGAACATGGCCTTTGACCGTAACACTGACTCTCTCTTTGAGGAGCTCTCGTCAGCAGGAACCGATCTCATAGGAGACGTGGATGAAGGCGCTGATCTGCTGGGTAAGTTCTCAGTCAACCAGAGCTCAGATCAGCATGCTTTGTGCCTTAAACTGAAGGAACAGTTCAACCAACAAATGAACATTTACTCATAAAACCTGTGTGAATTCCTTTCTTTATTAAATGATGGATTTTTGAAGAATATCCTGGCCACTCATCAATGTAATGAAAGTGAATGATATCTGAGGCTTTCATGCTCGATAAAAGTATCATATAAGTCAATGACTACATTCCAAGTCCTCTGAAGCCATACAGTAGCTTTGGAACGGACTGAGTTAAGTTTTTTTTTTTAATAGTTTCCTTGCATCTTCACAAGACTGACATCTGATTTATGAATGAATTGTTCTCTTGAACCGGATCTTATTGATTAAAATAGTTCTTCCATTTCACAGAGCTGGTCTGAATGATTGGTTTAAGAATCAAACTGATCCACTTCTCAAGATCGTGGAGGGGAAAACTATCAGTGAACAGCGATTTAGATTTGTTATCATATGACTTCAAAACTACTGTATTGGTGCTTTTGTTGTCTGACATTTGAAAGCACATGATTCAAAGAAGGTTATTATAGTTAACTAAAAATATATTTAAAAAAAATCAATACTTGAAATGATAAAACTTAAAATATAAAAATTTAACTAATTTGATCATTTTCATTTAGTGTAACTGGATGTATTAAAACAAACTATATAGGCATATTTAAAAAAGAAAAACAAATAAATTGACAAAAACAATACAAATTGCTAAAACATTGCTAAAGCAAAATATTAATAAAAACTAAATAGGCATATAAAAAAATCTAATAAAAAAATGACAAAAACACTAAAAATTGGATAAAAATGTACAATTTAAATGAAAACAGAAAACATTAAAAAGCTTAATTCAAAATATTAATAAAAACTATACAGGTATATTAAAAAAAACGAATAAAAATGACACAAAAACTAAAATTTCCATTCAAATTAAATAGAAAATATAAAAATAAAATTTTTACAAAAACTGTAATAGTATTTCAATGATACTAAAATAACACTGACTCAAAGTGTCTACTTTTGAGTTCTATGGAAGTCCAAATTGCATGTTTGTTGTGTCTTTTTCCTTCATGTCATTCTCCTATAATAGTGGAGACATCAGTCATTAGTTACTTTTATTCTTCATCTTATCTAAGCCCATCATTCCTCACTGACGTTCACAGCCCATCTAATCATGTTGTTTTTCCTCCATGTTTGAGGCTTTTCTTTCCCTCAGACGAGTTCTCTGGTGTGTATGTTTACACTCCTCTTTATTTTGTCCTCTCATTTTCGTACATTGTATCCTCACCAGGTGCGACACGACAGGTTTCTAGCAGCAAGTAACTTGTCTGTCCACACTAAAGCAAAAATGTTGACCAAAAAAAAAAAAAGACGACAACATTAGAAACCAAGCCACCAAAAAATGCTTGTCATAGCTGGTTAAGACAAATTCATTGTTGCTTTTTTGTATTGCATCTGGTTAAGATACAGTGTTAAAACTGTTTTTATTTGTAGATCCTTAGTAATTTAGTGTCACTCTTATTTATTTTGGTCATTGACTGACCCTTTCCTTGTTTTTTGGTTTGCATGCCAATTTCAGACCTTAATTTCTTTGGTAAGCATGATTTCGTGATCATTTCTATTCTCCAGAAAAGTGTTTTCTGTCTTATAAATGGTCAAATCAGCATTCGTGGGGTTTTCAGAGATCTGTGCTCGAGTATTTTTTGTCACATGAAATCTGCTTTGTATTGCTGTCATGTAGGTATGGGTCGTGAAGTCGAACACCTGATCCATGAGAACACACAGCTACTGGAGACAAAGTAAGTCATAATATGGCATTAGTATGTGGCTTGTGTCAGCTGGAAAACGCCAAACTGTTTGCATTTAGTCCATATTTACTCCATATGCAATGGTTCTACTGCCATCTGCTGTTTTAAAGGAGTTACAGCAATGCTTGAAAGAAAATCATATCAACTGGACTGAAAAGTAGAAATGACTGCAGTGATCTTGTTTTGCAAGTCTTATTAGATTCAAATGCCATTTATTACAACAGAATGCTAGTATGAAATCAGTATGAAGAATATAAAGTACTCTATTCTTGGTTCAGTTCATGTCTGATGTGACAAAGTAATAATGGCGTTTCAGTCAATTAAAGACATTTTCACTGATAACAGTTGGGGACTGGATTGTGAGTCTTTGAATGATTCATTGAAAATGAATGCATGTGTGTTGTCTGTCTTATACAATCAAGGAGGATCAAGCTATAGAAATACATATTTAATATCTATGTAAGGAGTTTTTCTTTTACAACGCATTCAAATCAGAAAGCAAACTAATAACCTCTATTGTAGATTTAGTTGTGTCTACATAAATTATTAAAAACACACAGATTTCTGTTTCTTGAAGCTGCATTGCTGTGTTTGCTGCAGGAACGCTCTGAATGTGGTGAAGAACGATCTGATCGCTCGTGTGGATGAGCTGGTGTGTGAAAAAGATGTTCTTCAGGGGGAGCTGGAGGTCCTGAGACAGTCCAAAGACAAACTGGAGGAGAAGAACAGAGAGCTGGAGGAGGAGCTCAAAAAGTTTGTCATTAGACACAGAGACATATATATATATATATCAGCAATCCAGACAGATACTTTTTTTAAATTATTTTTGAGTGAAGCTTGTTTGTTTGTGTCCAAACAGAGTCCGAGCTGAGCTGGAGGAAGCCAAAGTGAAGACGAAAGAGGACGATGATGTAAGCAAGAGTTTGGATGCCGTGTGTATTAGGATTGCAGAGCATTAGATTCCTCACCGTTCCATTAGATTTCAGTTCAGGAAGTCAAGATGTAATGCCAAAACGATTCTTGATGCAAATTATTTTTGAATTAGTGTTGTCGCGATACTAACATTTCTAACTTCAATACAATATTTTTGAATATATCTGTATTAAGTACCATTTTAGATGCCACAGTGACAAATTGCCACAAAATTAAGGGCAAAACATTTCAACAGTATAAGATCTGAGATTGGGATATAATAACAGCAGCAACAACAACAATAATAATAATAATAATAATTCTAAAACAGAAATATATTACTATTGCAATACAACTGCACTGTAAAATAAAAAATGAGTATTTCATAAATAATATATAAATTTTTTGTTTACGTAAAGTTCGGTACTTATGACTTAATGTCACTTGAAAGAGTTAAACCCTCAAAGTTTTTCTTATCAACTGAAACTGCTGTATGATATTTAATAATAATAATATTTCTAAGACTGCAATATATTACTATTGTAATACAACTGCACTGTAAAATAAAAAAAATGTATATTTCATACGTATATAATTATTTTACTTAAAACTAGTAAATTTACAGTACTTATGACTTAATTTCTTCACCTGAAAAAGTTAAACCCTCAAGCTTTGGTATTTTCAAATCTACTGAGATTGGGACTCTAAGATGATGATGATGATGATAATAATAACAATAATAATTGTTAAAAATATTAGTATTATGATACAACTGCATGGCAAAATAGAAAAATGCACATTTTATAAAAAGTATATAATTTTTACTTTACTGTAGTAAAATTACAGTACTTATGACTTAATTTCTTCACTTGCGAGAATTAAACCCTCAAACTTTAATATTTTCTTATCGATTAAAATTGCTGAGATTTAATAATAATAATTCTAAGACAGAAAGATATTGCTATTTTAATACAACTGCATTGTAAAATAAAAAAATACTTTTTATAATATTTATATAAATTTTTACTGTAGTAAAATTACAATATGCATGACTTTCAAGAGTTAAACCCTAAAGCTTTAGTATTTTCTTACCAACTGAAACTCTGCTGTCTGAGATTGAGATAAAAAAAAATAATGTTTCTAAGACAGAAATATCTTACTATTGTAATGCAGCTGCGCTATAAAATAAATATTTCACAAGTATATCAATTATTTTACTTCGCATTAGAAATAAGTGAAATGCTGCATAAAATTGGGGAAATTATGCAAATGTGAAATGCATCATAAGTGCACGTTGTGTTTCCAAATATATGTTATATGCAGAGATGTATTGATGTATAAACAGTATTTTAGACAATACTATTTCAAAGGATCAGTTTTACGGTGTTGAACAATAAGAAGCCGTGTTTCTCTCAGAGCGACGTGCCGACGGCCCAGCGGAAGCGCTTCACGCGGGTGGAGATGGCCCGGGTCCTGATGGAGAGAAACCAGTATAAAGAGAGACTGATGGAGCTGCAGGAGGCCGTCAGGTGGACGGAGATGATACGGTCAGTCACTGTAATCTCAGTGTTCAAACCGTCACAGCTCTGCCCTGCATCGACTCAACTGTGTGTTTCGTTCAATGCAGAGCGTCAAGAGAGAATCCAGCCTTGACTGAGAAGAAAAAGTCCAGTATCTGGCAGTTGTAAGCAGCCCTTTTTCGTTCTCCTCAAAGTTGTGTTATATTAGTTTGTGCGGTTTGGCGTTCAAACTTTGTTTCCCCCTCTCATTTTATGTCCCTCTTTTATTTGTTTTCCTTCTAGGATGTAGGTAAATCTTAGAAATCCTAGTAAATCTTGCACTTGGTTTGATCCTTGGATCCAAAAATCTGTTCTTGGACATGGGAATGGGGTTTCTTTAAAGCTTTAACAGCGGTATAACAAAAGCATAACAGGAATTTACAGCCAGACCGTTACATTACATTAAACTTTACTAATGCTCAAGCGTTCATTACACTTGTTTTTAAAGGATTTGGCACATCTGTGTCAGTAAGCAGCCTGCGGGGGGCTTGTTTTTGTTGGTTTGAAATGCCATTCCCAGGTCATGCTGGTCTAGCTGGGGTTTTGCATTTGGGGGCATTTAAGGTTTTGCATCTATTTTAAACCCATTCATTCTCCTCTTGTGTGCTCCTGTGTTTTCTGTAACCCCGTTCATGTTGTCCTGTGTGTTTGCAGAAGGTGTGTTGGGTCAGGGGACAGAGCTCTCCTAAACAGATATCAGATGTTTGTTTAGATCTTTGAATGTTTGTGGAAGGATGTGCATGGTTTGGTTTGATGAAGTGCAATAATAGAAGAGCTTTATTCACGAGTGTCAGGTCACATTTGGCTAACAGCTCCTTCTAAAAGCCTTTAGGATTAAGATTATTTAATTACACAAAAACAGACCAAAATATTACATCGTAGTTTTTATTTATTTATTTCAATTTTTTAGTTATTTATTCATATTTTCTGAAACAACTATACACTTACTATTTAAAAGTTTGGGGTTTGTAAGATTTTTTTTCTTTTTAATGTTTTTGAAAGTCTCTTCTGCTCACCAAGGCTGCATTTATTTGATCAAAAATACAGTAAAAATTTGAAATATTATTACAATTTAAAATAACTTTTTTTTTGTTATGTGAGCATTTGTTAAAATGTAATTTATTTCTGTGATCAAAGCTGAATTTTCAGCATCATTACTCCAGTCTTCAGTGTCACATGATCTTCAGAAATCATTCCAATATGCTGATTTGTTGCTCAAGAAACATCAGTGTTGAAAACATTTGTACTGCTTAATATTTTTGTGGAAACAGTTATACATTTATTTTTTTCAGTATTCTTTAAATATGAAGTTCAAAAGTTTTTGTGTAGCAATGTAAAAGTCTATAACCGTTACTGTTTCCTTTAAAAAAAAGAAAAAAAAAAGAGAAATTTATTGACCCCAAGTGTTTAAGCAGTATTGTATAAATTTAGTAAAACCTTTTGATACATGAGAATTGCCACAGAGACCGTTATGAATTGATTAGTTGAACAATAA